CCTGCAAATGTATTACTTGGTACTGACTTAGGTAGATTGTTATCCCAGTATGTGCCAGAAAGTATCGTGTGTTATAAACCCAAGCCTCATAGGGGCCCTCCTGTGCAGAGGGCAGTATGTGAAAATGAATGCAGACAATTGTGCTGGGAGGGAGGGCAGAATAAGCATGTGTGTGGGTCTGTGCCTGAACCAGAGGTGTCTGCAATATCATGTGAGAGTGTGCCAAGACAGAGTTGCTGGGAGGGAGGGCAGAATGAGCATGCGTGCCAGGCTGTGCCAAAACCAGAATTGTCTGTGGTATCAGGTGAAAGTTTGCCAGGGCAACTTCGCTGGGAGGGAGGGCAGAATGTGTGTCAATCTGTGCCAGAACCAGGGGTGTCCGTGGAAACTTGTGAAAATGTATTCAGACAATTGTGCTGGGAGGGAGGGCAGACTGAGCATGTGTGCTGGTCTGTGCCTGAACCAGAAGTGTCTGCAATATCATGTGAGAATGTGCCAAGACAAAGTTGCTGGGAGGGAGGGCAGAATGAGCATGTGTGCCAGGCGGTGCCAAAACCAGAGTTGTCTGTGGTACAAGGAGAGAGTTTGCCAGGACAACTTCACTGGGAGGGAGGGCAGAATGTGTATCAATCTGTGCCTGAACCAGGGGTGTCTGTGGAAACAGGTGAAGGTGTATGCCGGCAATTGTGCACGGAGCGAGGGCAAATTGAGCATGTGTGCGTGTCTGTGCCCGTACTAGGGGTGCCTGCAATACCATGTGTGAGTGGGCAAAAACAGCTGCACAGCGAGGCGGGGCTGGATGAGCATGTGTGCCTATCTGTGTCAGAGCCAGGGTTGTTTAAGATGCCATGTGAAAACACAAGTGGATCAAACCATTGGGAACCAGGGCAGGATGAGTTGATGTGTTCACCTGTATCTCAGTCAAGAGTATGTCAGGTGCCAGAACAAGGACAAAGTGAGTGGCTATGTGAGATTATGGAAGGATGGCCTAGCTGGGAGAGGAAATTACGTGAGTGTGTTTCACATCCAGTGCCTGACCAAGGGGTGCTAAAGGTGTTATGTGACAATGTGCCGGAAGAGAATTCTAGGGAGAGAGGGTTGAATGAATATGTGTGCCAAAATCTGCCTGACGCCAATGTATTGGCTGGGCTGTGTGAAAGTGTGGAGGGAGAGCATGGCTTTGAGGGAGGGCAGAGTGTGTGTGAGCCTTACTCTGCACAAGACTCATCCAGTTCCCAAGGTGCTGTGTGTATGAGGACATGGAGTGGAGGTGAGGGAGAGACAGAGGTTCCATCAGTAGATAGGGGGACCCGTCCACGGTCTGCCCAAAGTGAGGGGCATGGACAGTCTCAACCTGTGGGTCCAGGGAAAATGGCCGCGGGGGAACATACTGATGGGGGAACCACCATCCTTGTCAGCATATCACAATCACACCTCCAACATACACCCAAGCCAGCTCAGGAGAAGGCGTCTGTCTCTAAGCAACTTTTTGATTCTGAACCAAAGGTTCAGAGTAAAAAGGTGCAACGAGCCCAGCAGACAGACCACAAAACAGATAAGGAGTGTGGATACAGTGCAGGTACCCTGGGAGTGTCCTCTGTCTCATCTTGTGTGTGCTTACAGGGGAGTACTGCAGAAATCGGTTGGTTTCTTCCCCTTAGAGCTACTACACGGGCGCAGTGGGTGTGGCCTGAGAGATGTGATCAGAGCGCAGTGGGAGATGGAAACAGGCAAATCAGGCATGCGTGTTGTGTATATGGCTGTGATATGGCTTAGGGACAAAGGACAAGCCTTTTTGGGGGAGGTGTGTGAACACGTGAGGGTTACCCCATTCATGTAGAACCAGAGTTCTGAAAAAGATGAGTATATGAGGTGGAGGCAAAAAAGGAACAAGTGTTGATACACAAGGTAGAGGCATGTGAGCCTTCTCCCATTGCGTCTCTTATTTGGGGGAGGTGTCACGGCAAAGGTGTATAATTTATTATGACACTATGGAATATCATCTTTTAATGTGATTTCTTGTAGTAAATGGCACAAATTACAGAGATGCTATTGCTGAGGTCAACAGAGGTTACATCTTTTGAAGCTGGGACCCCCCCCCCACAGAGGGCAGATGACAAAAGGGGTAGTGTGAATGGCATAGGGATGTGAAAAGGATTTTACTGTATGGATGTGAAGTCTGCAAGGTGTGAGGTTCTACACTTGGAAAAAGTCTGAATGTCTCTTCATCCATTTGGCCTGTATTTTGTAAGTGATGAGTAAATCTCTTTGATATGTAAATGCCATTAGCTTTGTTCTAGTATCATATCCAAAGGAAGGACAAAAACATTCATATTTACCCCCCACAGAATAATAATTAAGCCTCATTTTTGTTATATTTGGAATGTGACAAGCACCATCTTCTAACCAAGTCCAAACATGAGTGGCCTAACTTGACCCTAGGGAAAGGAATTGTGATATCCGTCCTATTGGATCGTGGGTGGGACGTGCAACATGTCTATGGAATGGGAAAATAATAACAAATTTGTAGATGCAATTATTATTTCTGTGGCAGGTACAAAAAAGAAGATAGAGTCAAATGTTTCCATTTGGATTGACAGTGGTCTGGAACAAAGGAGGTGGTCAGTTATTATTTCTGTAGGTATGCCTTAACTCCACCCCTGGGCAAGACTTGATAAACCACAGGGTATATATCTAATGATCCTGAAGGGTGTTGGTGCACTTGCTTGGGGCCAAGATCTAATTTTGGGTGAGTCACCATCTTTCCTTGCCAGAGACCCCCTGGACAGAAGTTGTACTTTGAAAACCTAAGTGAGTAATTAGGACTTCTGTATTTTATCCTTTTTGTTTTATCTGTTGTTGGTGTAAATAATTTGTTTATCATATATTGTTATATGCACTGTGACTATCTTTTGCTCATAATAAACATTCATTTATTAAGTTTTGCCTTTGTCTGGTTAAGAATCACGTTACCTGAAGAGACTAGTTAGTATTTTTATAATTCCTTAAATATTGTACTAAGTAATATTTGGTGGGTTTTATTATTGATTTACCTGGGGGACCAAGGCACCCCATTCATAAATTGTCTTGGTGGTGGCAGCGTTAAAGTAGTAATAGTTATATTATTATGTTTAAGTGTGGGTGGTGTTAAAGGGGGATTTTGTCATTATTTCCGGTCTAGTGCAGACAAATAGTGTACTTTAACCCTTTCACCACCACAACTACGTCACGCACACTCTTGGAGTAGGGTGCGTTCGTGACAGACGTTGCTTATGGACTAACCCTGGACACATCACCTAAACTTCTATTTTCAAGGACTGTCAGTTTATCTCTCTGCTTTGCTGCCATATCAGTTTGCTCTGCTGAAACTGCCTCAAAATAAAGTGAGTGGTTTTCATTTTTTTGTTTGGCATTTGTTAAAGAAAAATGACAGGGACGCTTTCCAGATTGTGATGTCCCGCCACTGGACATTCGGGGTTGTCCGATCGGTTGATCAACGTGTGGGACTGGGTCTCGTGCATCTTGTTTTCTTAGTTTTATGGGGTATATATACACTATATTTATGTATGTACGGTATCTTGAAAAAGACCTTATACCATTTGAAACGTTGATTTTTCCACATGCAAATTTGAATACACTTTATTGATTTTTTGAAAATCCAGTGAGTGTCCTCATCATTTCTTTGGATTGCTCTCATCTTTTCTTTGGAGTGCTCTCATCATTTCTTTGGATTATACACTGCCTGGCCAAAAAAAAAAGTCACCACCTGGATTTAACTAAGCAAATAGGTAAGAGCCTCCTATTGGATAGTGACTGTATGGGCGATTATCTTTCAGCTGGCAACAAGTTATTAAACCCCAACTGATGCAATGAGTAGCTTCTCATTTCTTAAACATCCATGTCGAAAGACACATCCTGTGGTCGTAGAAAAGCTGTTAGTCTGTTTGAGAAGGGTCAAATCATTGGCATGCATCAAGCAGAGAAAACATCTAAGGGGATTGCAGAAACAACTAAAATCGGGTTCAGAACTGTCCAACACATTATTAAACAATGGAAGGATAGTGGGGAACCACCGGTGATAGGCACATCAGGGCAAGAAGCGAGGCAGATGAAGTGATGCACCCATCATGCCTAGTATAAGCCTGTGGGGGCAGTGCTATGATCTGGGGTTGCCGCAGTTGGTCAGGTCTAGGTTCATAAACATTATGTGCCCAAAGAATGAGGTCAGCTGACTACCTGAATATACTGAATGACCAGGTTATTCCATTAATGGATTTTTTATTCCCTGATGGCACGGGCATATTCCAAGATGACAATGTCAGGATTCATCGAGCTCAAATTGTGAAAGAGTGGTTCAGGGAGTATGAGACATAATTTTCACACATGGATTGGCCACCACAGAGTCCAGGCCTTAACCCCATTGAGAATCTTTGGGATGTGCTGGAGAAGGCTTTGTGCAGTGGTCCGACTCTTCCATCATCAATACAAGTGAAAAATGAATGCAACACTGGACAGAAATAAATCTTGTGACAGTGCAGAAGCTTCTTGAAACAAAGCCAACACGAATGTGTGCCGTAATCAAAGCTAAAAGCGGTCCAACTAAATATTAGACTGTGTGATCTATTATTTTTGGTGGGGCTTTTGTTTTGACCAGGCAGTGTGTGTGTGTGTGTATATGTATGTATGTATGTATGTATGTATGTGTGTGTGTGTGTGTGTGTGTGTGTGTGTATATATATATATATATATATATATATATATACCTAGGTCTATCCTATATGTGTCTTAAATTAAATCTGTACCCCATCATTTAGATGAGTTAAAGTTCACTTGAAGGAAGTATCTTCTCAAATCATAAAAATGTCATAAATGTACCCCTTGTAGATTACCAGGTATTCGCTCCATGAGTGTGGTCTCCATGCTACCATTAATAAGTTGGCAAAGCCCAAAAGGGTACCTTTTAATAGTCAAACCAGAAACCATTATTCTTTAAAAATAAATAAATAATGTCTTCTATTATGAAATTCTACTGTTGTATACGGTGAGGAGATTTTACTAAAAACTAGAATCATATCCTCCTTCCATTTAAACTTTTCCAAGTACCTCACAGTGCACATTTTGTCTGAATCACATATAGTTAAAGGAATGTCTACATACTCAGGTTAGATTTTAGGGAATTTATCCCTGAAATAATATGCCTTCCAGTGGGATTATGTTTGTTTTTTGTGTAAATAAAAGGTTGTGACTTGGGGGAATGTATTGAAAATTAAATTATAAGCATTTTTATTTTAACATCCCTATTTAGGAGATGTTGCAATTTCTTTTTTTTTTTTTTCATAGTTAGATCTTTATATAAGAGAGTATATGTTTCTCTATCTCCCAGTAATCTCATGGTTTCTTCTGTGTACTTTTCATTTGAAAGAATCACAAATCTTCAACTTTTATTGGCCCATTCAGCTTTTTTAAATTCCATCAGAGCTCATCTTTCCTGGTCAGATTATTCGTCCTATTGCTTTTCTTTAATTTCTGCATATCTTGAACTACTAATTCTCCAAATAGGTCTCTCTGTGTAGTGGTTAGGTATTGGGATAAAAATTTGGAAAAAAAGGTTTTAATTCACTGTTTGAAATAACTCCTAACTGCAGTATGGTTATCTATTATATTTACCATTGATCATTTTTCGTCTTTAAGTTTTTCTGTCTGTTCATGCATTGCCGAATAAAAGAGCCAACATGAATGGAGAAAAAAAAAACCATGAGACAAGGTTAGAAATATTTATATAAATGTTTTTAATTACATAGCATTATTTGTTTAAGTGTGTACATTTTATATTAAAGTGCTTTCTTTGTTTAACAAGTACTTGTTTCTAACCATTTGGTCACACTAAAGAGCACTTGCACAAAGAGCCCTTGTAAAATTCATCTCATCTAAAGGGCAATGTGTTTGGCTGAAAAACACAAGCAGTCTCACTGGGGTCATAGTTATGTTACAAAGAAATAGCAATGTCATGTAATGTTATATCAAGACACAGAGGCTCAAAATGTGCATGTGCAAGTTCAGAGCTGGTTGAGGACAGCAGAGAAAAGGAGAGAAAAAAGCATGAGGAATTGATTTGAAATATAATACTCTGGAAAAAAAAAAAGTAAGCTCCCATGACTAATCTGCAGATCCTGCAAACCACTGACCACCAACCAAGGTAATCTTAAATGATGTCCCTCTAGAACAGTATGTGACAAAGGTCCCTCTAGAAGAAGCTGGATGACAAACCCCAGCAAATCGCATAATCCATTTAACTCAATGAGCCAGCATGGTACTGAAACCAGTTGATAGAAGAGAAACCATTTAAAAGAAAAATTTGGACGTAGCTGTATTGTACGCATCATATATTCCTGTAGGCACATCACAGGACACAATGTATACACAAAGGGAAAAACCAAGTAAAAGGTTGACTTGCTGACCATCTTAATAAGTCTGGAAACAGCAAAGACTATCCCTTTTGGAGTAAAAAACTGGTATCACAGTCCAAGACATTGACATCTGGCACTCTCTTGCAGGATATCAAGCAGAACAATGTGACCAATTTGGCTGAAAGCTAACAAAATCACAGGTTAAACAGACCAACTAAGACTCAAAAAATGCAAGGGCATCAATATCCCACATTCATAGGACATCATGAGCTGAGAATATTACAGATCTATATAAGTTAATTGTCCTTCAGGCCTAGTCATGTACAAAACTCCAGAGACCTCCAAAGTTCCCAAGGGATAGAAGTCAATGTGTTGTACAAAACTGAATCACAAGAACCAAGAAGCAGTATCCTGGTAATCATAGAAAAAGGCTGGAACATATGTTGGTGGCCCCACTCCATTCCCACCGCCTGTGCTTCTGGATCTGGATGCCAACTGTATAACATACAGTGAGGGAAAAAAGTATTTGATCCCCTGCTGATTTTGAACATTTGCCCACTGACAAGGAAATAATCAGTCTATAATTTTAATGGTACATGTTTTAACAGTGTGAGATAGAATAACAAAAAAAAAAAAATCCAGAAAAACTAATATCAAAAAAGTTATACATTGATTTGCATGTCAATGAGTGAAATAAGTATTTGATCTCCTATTAATCATCAAGATTTCTTGCTCCCAGGTGTTTTTATACGGTTAACGAGCTGAGATTAGGAGAACTTTCTTAAAGGGTTTACACCTCTGTTAACAACAGTGAAGTTTAGAACAAAGCCACTAATAGGGAGATGGTTTTGGTAGGTTAGGGTGGATCTGTCACTGAACTGAAACTTTAACGTAAACTTAAAGTAAGCTAAATTGAAAGCATAGGTGAATAGGAGATTTTCTTTTTAGCTCTGGCTACTTTGACCTTAAATGTAAAATTCACGTGTTTCTCTTTACACCACAACACCAAGTGGATTATTCACTACCACTTGTCATGATGCAGTGAAGAATAACTCCCAAAATCTTCTGAGAATTATAGAATTTACATTTCACAGCATCAAGGTGAGCATCTTATAACCCTAATTGCTCCTAAAATTATATATTAAAATTATTTAATGTCACATATATAGCACTTGATACAGAAGTTTGCCTGTCTTTAAAAGTGACAATTAAGGGTTACCACATTAAAAGTGAATTGAGCGAGTGAATGTTAAACACTCTATGGTTTATGAGATTTTTTTCCCATTTGTTAAAGGTAATTATTTTTATTTTTTTGTGGGAATCATCTCTTTGGGGAGATGTATATGTAATGTTAGGTGTAATAACACTGACATCTAGTGGTGCATGCTTTAGTTGCAGTTTTTAAATAATTGAAATACTGCTACAATGTCTTCACAAAGCGTTTTTACACTGCCAAAAACTAAATATAAATATTCCAATGTTTTTTGTTTTTGTTTTTTTATAAGTACTTGATTTAAAGTGATGACAATTATAATACCAGTAAAGTCACCTTTAATAATTCTCTCAGAGGAAGAGGCTATAGTTCATATACAATTTAAAAATAAAAACAAAAATTAAACAAAGTTGCACCTACCTTAAAGGACCACTATAGTGCCAGGAAAACATACCCTCAGGGTCCCCCTCCTGCCCGGCTCTGGAAGGGGGAAAGGGGTAAAAACTTACCTTTTTCCAGCGCTGGGCGGGGAGCTCTCTGCCTCCTCTCCTCCTCCGATCCGCCCCGTTGGCTGAATGCGCACGTGCGGCAAGAGCTGCGCGCACATTCAGCCGGTCGCATAGGAAAGCATTCATAATGCTTTCCTATGGACTCTTGCGTGCTCTCACTGTGATTCTCACAGTGAGAATCACGCAAGCACCTCTAGCGGTTGTCAATGAGACAGCCACTAGAGGATTTGGAGGAAGGCTTAACCCATTGATAAACATAGCAGTTTCTCTGAAACTGCAATGTTTATAAAAAAAATGGGTTAACCCTAGAAGGACCTGGCACCCAGACCACTTCATTAAGCTGAAGTGGTCTGGGTGCCTAGAGTGGTCCTTTAATGCATTCTGCTTATATTTCAATCTACCAATGCTTTAGTCATCACAGTATATATGTTTCTAAAATTAATGTTGATTTTTTTAGACCACTGGAGAATATTTTTAAAACAAAATATCTCTCTTCTAAAAGGTGGATCACCTTTGCATAGATTAATAATACACATATTCACATTATTATAAATTTTTATGATTATTATTATCATATGTTATTATTAACCCCTTAAGGACGGAGCCAAATGTACAGTTTGTGAACGAAACAAAATGTAAACAAAACCTGGCATTTGCGCTACATGTCTGTCCAACCGTAATTCACCTCTTTCATAGTAAATGCACCCAACCTTATTATATATCATTCTATTCAAGGGAAACAGGGCTTTCATTTAATATCAAATATTTAGCTATGAAACATAATTTAATATGAAAAAAATGGGAGAAAATAAGATTTTTATTTTATTTTTTTAGTTCTACATGACATTTTAACTGTCAATGTCATAATACTGTTTGCTTTTACTGCAATAAAATACACATATTTGTATTCAGCAAAGTCTCACGTGTAATACAGTACCCCCTATGTACAGGTTTTATGGCGTTTTGGGAAGTTACAGGGTCAAATATAGCACGTTACATTTGAAATTGAAATTCGCCAGATTGGTTACGTTGCCTTTGAAACTGTATAGTAGCCCAGTAATGAAATTTACATCCTTAATGGCATACCTTTTGCAATAGTAGACAACCCAA